GCGACAAATGATAAATGATTTAATTCATAATACAGTGGTGCCCCGCATAGCGACGATAATCCGTTCCGGATAAATCATCGCTATCCGGAATCGTTACTATACAGGGCAAATAACCCCATAGGAACGCATTAAACCCTGTTTAAAGCGTTCCTATGGGGGATAAACTCACCGCTAAGCGGAAATCCTCCATATGGCCGCCATTTTCGCCACCTTTGTAAGCGAGGAAACTGCACGAAAACACTGCGGGCGGCCATTTTTTTCCTTCTGGCAGCCATTTTGGAACCGCCAATCAGCTGTTTTCTAAACATTGCAATGCGAAGATCGGTTAGCGAAACGCTTACCGATCATCGCAATGCGATGTTTAGCCATTCTAAACATTGCAATGTCATCGTTTTTGCGATCGCAAAATCCGAATCGCTATGCGGATTCGTCGTTAAACGGGGCGCTCGCTATGCGGGGCACCACTGTAATGCATTTGACTGCCCTGGGAGGGAATCATTTGGATTTTCCCGTTCCACACTGACATGGCCCATCTCTGTTTTTTAACTTCTCCTTACATGGAGCTTTCATGTGTGAAATGGAAGCCAAGAGATGGAAAGGATGAAGCTTAGATACTAGGGACAGAGTTGGATTTCTACATCACAGGTATCCCTTAGATACTAGGGACAGGCAACTGCTGCTCTCAGCTCAAGAATACCCTCTGAACCCAAGGCAGAAGAGTAAGTAAACATTTGTACAAACTTATTCTGTGGCTATACACTCATCGGGACAAGCAACTGGGATACAAACCTAGCTCTCTAGGGCCTGTCCTTAAATTAAGAACGACTAAAAAAACTAAGGAGTCGTTCACACATTTTCACTACAGATCCCATCATTTTGAAAGGGGTTTTGTATTTCAGCAGAACTCGGGGTACTCCTATGTTAGAATCTCCCCTTCATGCTTCTTAACAGCCCAGTTTTGATGGCAGAAGCATTAGCCAACTCAATGCAAGTTCAATAAATAAATAAATAAATGCTGGTACAGGATGGGTAAAAAGCAGGCTTAGAGGTGGGAGTGTGAAGCAGGGGTGAGCAGTTTCTAAAGGTCTTGAGCCCTACAGGCCCATACTAGGACACAATATACTTAAACATATGCTGTATTCCCCCAGAGACTTCTACATTTAAAACACATTTGCTAAAATCAGTATCCTCCCTCCCTCTACTAGGCATGGTGCGGGTGGGGGGGGGGCAGTTTCACCTGGCTCATCATTCCCTTGAGCTGTTTTAATATGGCCAGAAAAGGCCTTTTTTTCCCTCCAAAACTCGATGTGATTGGCTTTGGAGGGGGAAAAAGGTATGGGAACCAAAAAACACACCCAAAACCCCACTGACCTCCCAACAGGAGGAACGTGAGCTTTAGAAAAAATCTTGTTCTCTCAAAAAATGATGGGAGGGAAGGTGGTTGCCTCATGAGTATGGGGGTGCAACTGAGGCTCTGTGGGGCACAGGCAGCTAGAAGCCACACTTTGCCCACCCTTTTGCAAAGCACCCCCACACAAACCGCTCAGTGAGAGAGAAATGGACATAGTGCTCATCTAGTCATTTTTCTAAAACAAATAAGTATACAAATACCAAAAAAAAATAAAAAATCAAATGCTCCTCTAAGAAAAGGTAAACAAAAGCAATACCAAAGACACATTCAAAGCAGTGAGGAACTACAGTCCACTTTAAAAACCTACTCCAGCAGCCAGTCGCTGAGGGAAAGCTTGCCTGAAGAGAAAGGTCTTTGCCTGCTTGCAGAAGGACAGCAAAGATGGAGCCAGCCTAGCTTCTTGTGGGAGGGAGTTCCAGAGTCTGGGAGCAGCAACCAAGAAGGCCCTCTGCCGTGTCCCCAAACGTACCTGTGAAGGTGTTGGGACTGAGAGAAAGGCCTTAACACCCAAGCAGGCTCGTAAGGGGAGACACGGTCCTTGATAGCTTGGACCTAAGCCATTAAGGACTTTGTAAGTCTGAACTGTGCCCAGAAGCAGATCGGCAGCCATGAATGGAGTACATCAAATAAGGGCCCGGGTGGCCATCTGATACCCTGAACAGGATTCCATGCTACTATGTTTTGTTGCGTGTATTCAATATTCAAGTTTTGAAAGAATTTATAGCACTTTATTCACCCAGATTTTTCAGCAGAGAACCATCAGAGAGCAGAGGTGAGGTTCTGAACACTGATACCTACGGAGCTCACCCTTCAGCCAGCTTTGCAATATATGAATACAGTACAGCCAAGGTTTCGTTGCTCTGAAGTACCTTTGTCGTGCATGTTCACAGCTTTCAACAGATCCTCTCTGATGGGGTGTTTGGCTTTGTAACACAACCGGCCAACGTTCGAGGGGGTGTCATCGCCTGAAAGTGTGGTGAGATCAATGCAGGTGACGGCCCGGAGAAGCCAAGCTGCCTTTAAAATACAATTAAAAAGTAGTAAATAACAATATCAGAAAACACCTTTATCATGCAGCCATGTGGCTGGCAATGATTTGGGACTTGCTAAGCAAAGCCTGGAAATAATACGTTACAAGTAATACCGTTAATTATAACTATTTTGGTTTTTTGGTAACAAGAATGTAAATAAATTAAATGTCAAAGTGTACATAATAGGTAGTTTTAGGGTTACCTTTGTGAAGTGACAGGTATTATTTTTTAATCCCCTTCAAGTGTACACACCAAATTTGCAAATTTTGTAAACATCAAAACATTCTGTACAACTGCTCAACGGAAACAACCAAAAGAAAAATCAAGTCTCAAAAGCTGATTTACAACGGCTTTCTGAGTGAAAGATGAACAAAGCCGTATTTCCTCAGCAGGGTAGATGTGATTTAAATCAAGCTGATTTCAATCATGATTTAAATCACAGTTTCAATCACGATTTAAATTTTTTAAATATCAGATTTTTTTGACAATTTAAATAAAAAAACTGTTTAATTAGTGATTTAAGTCAATTTGATTTTTAAAGAAATCATTGATTGTTATCCACCCTGTCCTCAGGAAATTATCTCAGAATCTTGCTATAGAATAGACCCTGTTCCTTATAAGAAGAATAGTAAAAGGTCAGATTTGCACCCAACTTTTAAAGAAATCATTGATTGTTATCCACCTTGTCCTCAGGAAATTGTCTCAGAATCTTGCTATAGAATAGACCTTGTTCCTTATAAGAAGAAGAATAGCAAAAGGTCAGATTTGCACCCAATAGATAACACGGTGGTTTAGGTATTTGGCTGTGGCACTAGAGGTTGGGAGTTTGATTCCCCACAGTGCCTCTTTGACAGGAGTTGGACTTCATGATCCAGAGGGTCGCTTCCAGCTCCGCAGTTCTAAGATGATGACAACAACGATGATGATATATAGCATTTCACATACAATTTTAGTCTTTTTGCTGATGGCAAATCAGAGAGAATCGAATGGGAGTCACAGTCCGAGAACAGAGGGCCATACGTTGTTGGACTGGATTAATTTCTGGTCTGGGTTAATTTGTAAAAGGGACACCTCGACACTTCTTTGGAAGGAAGGGTGAAATTAAAGAAAGACATTCCTGTGTTCCCATTAGAAAACACCTAGGATTATTTCCTAAAAATACTCATCAGACAACAGAACGACATTCCATGAGCGAAACAGCAAGGAGCAAGCTGGAAAACAAGAAGCAAAAGCTGGGAAAAGCAAGATGTCATATGACGACAGGCCAGACTTACAGAAACTAGAATTACACGTTAATGGCTTTAAAATGAAAGGCAAGGTGAGGAAGAGCATTGCTCTTACACAGATAACTGTCGGAGGAGGATAAATGTGCTGCTACAGCTAACACACACCAACTTCCCATGAATAAAGATCACTTAAACTCATTTGTGGTTTGGCCACTCTTGGAGTTGCCACCCACCCACCCACTTATCCCTTCAAACTTGTCTGGATAAAGAAATCATCTTTTACCAGCCCATCATCGCCATCTTTTAATAATTCATTTTTGACAACAACATGGGCAAGTCCCATCTTTTCAAGTCACGAGCCTCTTGAACGAAATTCAATATTAAAACCCGCGGAAGAGGAATGGCCGTTTTAGGAGCGCAAGAGCGGAATGCTCAAACCCTTTTTACCTGCCAATTCTTTTTCACAGCCCGTTGAGTCTGAATCTGAGCTGCACGCCGGAGAACGGCCGGTTGGTTGACCCGAACCTGCGCAAGCCATCCGAGGTCTAGGGAGGAAAACAGGACGAGTTCAGGACAATTGCAAGCCACCGCTTTGCACGGAGCGGTCCGGGGTGGACAAATATAAATGTTTTTTTTTAAAAAAATCAAATAGATTTAAATCACAATTTAATTTTTTTAAAAACAATCCAATTTATTAAATCTAAATGGTTAAAAAAACCAGAATTTTTAAATTAAAATTGTCCAGCCAGACACAGTCAGAGCTTTAACAAAACCAGGGCAACTAGGGCTTTCATGGACGGTGCTGAAATTTGGAGGGTGCAAAATTTGCTGCTGAAGGATCTGAATCTACCCATTCGTATTTACTGCTGGAGGGGCACAAATTCATCCATGTAAGCACGTGCACACACATAACCTCCAACCACTTCTGCACAGCAAAAGGAAACATAAAAGAGGCAGGTTCAGCATAGAACAAGGGCTGCTGCATGTTCGCACACTTCCACACTCCCTTTCCTCCATCCTCCCCACCATTTTGCCAATCTTGCATGACCCCCAGCTTTGTTGGGAGTTTTTACAGACTCGCAGGCTGCCTCTAGTAGGAGTGGCTGGTAGGGACTTTTCTGGGCAAGGGGTAACTGTCAATCTATCTAGCACTAATCAACAGCTCCCCCATGTCTAGGATTCAAAGAGAACTCCACCTCTTCTCTCAGCCTTTTCCCCTCTCTTGGGTCTGTTGAGGCCTGTTGCCGAAAGCAGTCATATCTGTCAGTTTGCTGTTCATCCGTAAGCAAATGAAACCCTTTTATTCCTTCTACTATTAATAGCTCAGAGTGAGTTGTTGAGACTGTAAGTGCCCGCTGATGAGAAAAGGGGGTGAACTAAATTGGGGAAACTCCACCTCTTGGCTCAGCCTTTCCCCCTCTCTTGAGTCTGTTGAGGCCTGTTGCTGAAAGCAGTCATATCTGTCAGTTTGCTGTTCATCCGTAAGCAAATGAAACCCTTTTATTCCTTCTACTATTAATAGCTCAGAGTGAGTTGTTGAGACTGTAAGTGCCAGCTGATGAGAAAAGGGGGCGAACTAAATTGGGGAGACTTGAAGCCATTCTGCTCTGTGATTCCTTGCACTTCTGCTGTGCAGCTAGAGAAACGTAACCAAAATCCAAAACTAAAAAGCTTTAGCAGCAAAAGCATGGCTGCGAAAATTGCTTGTTATGACTCTGAGGGCTGTCGGGTCGACCAACACGGGTGAAACAGACAGAGAACACAGAGGGCCTTTGGAACAACAACTCAGAATTCATCCTTCCTCAATCACCACGTCTTCCTGGGAATGTGGCATGTTTTCTCCTACCAGCCTTGCTTCTCCTAGGAGGTTAACCATCTGTAACCATGTAGTATTATAGTATGTCGGGGGAAAACAAAATTAAAAATTAAAGAAATAAAGAAGAAAACAATGTTGTGGCACCTTAAAGAGTAACTGCTGCTGTATATTTTAATGTGAGCTTTAGTGGACAAGTCTGCTTCCTCAGATGTGGGCTGGTCCATGAAAGTTCACATTAAAATATAAGCCCTTCATTTTTTTAGAAGTAGTGCTACCTCTTCTAAAACTAGTATTATAGCAGTACGTTTCTACACTCAGGGGTCTCTCCTGTTCCTCCATTCAACAGGCCTTTAGCTTTCCCTAAATGATAAACACAACACTGGCAAACATATCAATGTCCTCTTTGGGGAAAACTGGGCTGTTTCCTTTCTATTATAGTGGGGTTTGAGTTATTTGAAACAGTGATTGGTGGGGCATAAGATATAGAAGTGTTGGTAACCATGGGTGCAGAGCACTGTCCAAGAAGCAGGATTAATGCTCTGGCTCAGATTATGCACAGACAGGTACACTCATGAATAAAGATAGCTTTAATTTCATTTGTGATTTTGTCACTCTGAGGATGCCCCTGGAAACTTGTTTGGCTGAAGAATAATTTTTCACCATCCCATCATCATTATTAATCATAGCTAGATGTTCCCTACGAGATCAGAAATGGAGTGCCTTTGAATATCGCTTCCTGGGGAATACGAGCAAGATAATAATACTGTATTCACTGCATATTTCAGTGTATAAGACACTCCCATGTATAAGACACCCCCATTTTTCTAATCCAAAATTAAGAAATCTAAGTGGGGTTTAGCAAGTGTAGGGGGAAAGGGATCAAAGCGCTGCAGGATCGCTTTGATCCCTGCTTTCCCCTCCACTTGTTTTTGTTCTCTCCTCAGCTTACTTCTGTATATAAGACAACCCTCAATTTTTAGTCTAAATATTTTAGAGAAAAGTAGTCTTATACACAGAAAAATACGGTATATCCACCTTGCTGGCTTCCCCTGGGCAAAGAGTCGTTCACTTTGAAAAAACATTGGTACACGGGATGAAATAGGTCTTTGGCCCAGCTAAATTCCCCGTTATGTTCTTATGCCAGTCAACAGAAGGAGCCGTTCTGTTTAAAAATAAATACACCAAGAAAATATATACAGTGGTGCCCCACATAACGAGTGATTCGTTTAACGACGAAAGCGCATAGCGATGAGGTTTTTGCAATCACAAAAGACATCGCATTGCGATGTTTCTAATGGTAAAACATCGCTTTGCAATGATCGGTAAGCATTTCGCTTACGGATTGTCACATAATGATGTTTTAAAAACAGCTGATCGGCGGTTCCAAAATGGCCACTGGGGGGAAAAATGGCCACCCGCAGTGTTGTCGCGCCCTTTCCTCGCTTACCGGGCAGCGAAAATGGCGGCTGCATAGAGGATTTCCGCAGAACGGTGAGTTTTTTGCCCACAGGAACGCAATGAAGGGGTTTCTATGCGTTCCTATGGGCTTTTTTGCCCTGCATAGCGACGAATCCGTATAGCGACGATTTTTTTGCAACCAATTATCGTCGCTATGCGGGGCACCACTGTACATCTGTTGATCCGTGTATCTGTTTAAGCCAGTCTTTCTCCATCTGGTGGTCTCCAGTTACTACTGGCTGTGACTCCCATCATTCCCAGGCAGCATTAGCAATGGTGAAGAATCATGGGAAGTGAAGTCCTAAAAAACTACAGAAGGCACCCGTTAGAGGAAGACTGGTATGGTGCAATTCAGCATTTCTCAACACTTGGTATCTTGAGTTCCACCAATCCCGCAGTCCAAAAATTCTGAAACTGACCATGAGATAAACAAAAAACTCACTTCTTCCAAGAAGGATATTTACATCTTTACTTGTGAATTCTGTATTTCCTATTATTTTATGTATGTCTGAAGAAGTGGATCCACAAGAGCTCACATTAACATATAACAGTCTTTAACGTACCACATGCTGTCTTATTTTGTATTTTTTTTCCTGTGGATTTTGCCTGATATACCTTGTCAGGCATTCTGTCACTGGTCCGAATCCTACTGGTTCTTTACCCATGCATAAGGGGAATCAGGCCAGTTACAGGGTGTTCATTTACAAGATGCTGGTTGCGTTCCTGGCCATGTGCCCAGGAACACAACCAGCATCTCCTTAAAGAGTGTCAATTTCCTACAACAACTTATGCAGTTTCTCTTACTCAGCACAAATTGCCAACTGGATCCTGGCCAAGGTCACAGACGGATCAATAGGAGATGACTCAACGCATGTACGAGGACATGGAGAATCTTAGCAACTGCCATTAAAACCTCTGCATCCACCTCCGTGTTCCACCAACAGCATATGTACCACTGGATGAAAAGCAGTGGCGTATGCCATTTTAAAAAATCGTAATATGACTGAATTGGGGAGCAGGCAGAAGAGGGAGAGAGAATTCCTCCCATTTTCAAAAATGTAATCTCTGGGTCATTTCTTGTTTGCCACCAACATTATGAACCGACCTTCCTTAAGGAGACTTTCCCCCCTTTCTCCAGTCTGGTGTTTGTTTGCACACATAAATCATTTCCACCTACAGTTGGGGAAGCAGGAAGGCCCAAGAGCAAACCGCCTTTGTGAACTGCTGATAAAGCGGTTTCCCCTTTTCTGGACATCCATAGGTCACAAAAGTGAATGACGGCAGGGCAGGGGTGAATTATCTCCAGCCTCCATTGGAAAGAAACTGTGTGCAGATTCATTAAACATAAAACACGACTACTACCATTTTTAATATGTCATCTGCTCCATCTAAATATTCATGGGGCTTCAGGGATAAAAGTAATTAAAGCAGTTAAACTACAGCTAATTAGCCAACTTTCTTTAATCCTCTCCTGGTTTTTTAAAAAAAGAACTGTTTTTCTTCCTCTGAAGACATGTCTAAAAAAGGGGGGGGGGATTTCATAACTGTATTTAGAAGTGTCATGGGAAGGCCGTCTTTTTGGGGCGGGCTCCAGGCTACTTTCCCTCTCATGCCCGCAGGCACAACAGCACATTTGGTTGTATTCCAAAAACAAAGAAATGTGAATTAACACCGTTCTGAATAGGATGCCTTACACACACACAGATATAGAAGCTAAAATACAATGAATGATTACAGTATTAAAAAGCAATGACATTGGTGTCATATTTAAACAGCTTAAGCAATTAAAAAAGATGTTTAAAAGACGTGCCAACCTCTTTAAGAAGCTTAGGCAGACAGTGAGCAGAGGAAGACCTGCCTGAAGAGAAATGCCTTTGCTTAGTTGAAGGTCAGCGAAGATGGGGCCAGTCTGGCCTCCTGTGGGAGGGAGTTCCACGGCTTGGGAATAGCGATAGGAAAACCTGTCTCTCGTGTCCTCACCAAATGCACTTTTTAGGGTGATAGAACCAAGCGAAAGGTCTACCCTGATGATCTTAAAACACAGGCAGGCTCATACAGTGGTGCCTCGCTTAACGACGTTAATTCGTTCCAGCGAAATCACTGTAGAGCGAAAACGTCGTAAAGCGAAATAAAAAAGCCCATTGAAATGCACTGAAAACCTTTCAATGCGTTCCAATGGGCTGAAAACTCACCATCCAGCGAAGATCCTCCATGGGGCAGCCATTTTCCATGCCTGTGCAGCAAGGAATCCATCCCTAAGCACGGGGGGGGGCATTTTCTTCAGCCGGAGGCCATTTTGAAACCCGACGAGCAGCTGTTTTTGATCGTCATAAAGCGAGAATCAGTTCCCAAAGCAGGGAACCGATCATTGCAAAGCGGATTTTGCCTATTGGAATCATCGTTTTGCGATCGTAAAAACCTCACCGTCAAGCGGATTCGTCGTTAAACAGGGTAATCGTAAAGCGGGGCACAACTACATATGAAGATGAGGTCTTCAGATGGCTTGGAGGCAAGCCACTGAAGGCTTTATAGAGATCCACAGGTATCCTTCTGATGGCTACACCTGGTTGGATAAGTCAGGGATATATTTAGTACAGTACTGGGCTGTAGAGCCAGAGGTCATGAGTTCAATTCCCTACACTACAGCACCTCCTGGGAGAAAACCCAGCCTGAGTGGCTTTGTGTAGAAGTGTACAGGTTTGTGTTCTGGCAGTGGACAAAAACAGACTTTCTCAACACAGCGGTTTCCGGTTGTGAACAGACTACAGCTTCACTCACCGAGAGCATAATAGGAGTTGCAACCAAAATGTATGGAAAGTATAAGGCCAGAGAAGGTTGGCCTAAAAGAATCCCCTCTCATGCCGCTTATGAATATTTATATAATACATTTCAGTTTGAATGTGTGAAGGGATAAGTGAGGTGCCACCAGCTGAGCATGCTCTAGGGCAGAGGTGGCAAAAGGTGGACTTCCAGATCTTGAGGGACTACAATGTCCATTTGCCTTGGCCAGCGCAATGGACTAAATGGCTCTACTGTCAGGGTTTGGTACCTTGTCTGTTCAAGAGTGTTCAAATAATGATAGGGAATATTGAAAACCGCCCTAGAACTGCTCTGAAAGTATCGTGCTTTTACACTTGTGACAGGAAAACATGTTTACGACAAATGTGATTTAAACCAAACCCGCCCTGCCAGCCTCTAAACAGTCTTATTATTATACGTTTCTTTATTTTCCACCTGTTTTTAAATTTGTGAACTTTCTTGAGTTTGGGGACTGAAATCAAATAAATAATGACCCTGAGTTTCTCACTTGTATCTTCTTGTCCCATTGCTTCTGCTTTTTGGGAGACACTCTTTTAATCCTTATAAGGCCATTTTATAAGGTTATTGATGTGGACTTTACCAGTTTCAGGCATATCTTCCCAGGAACAAACTGATGTGTTGCATAAACTTAATTATTTTTTTTCTCTGTCTCGGTGAGGGCTAGTGGTAAAATGATTTATGTTGGAAGGCTCCCTATAAGTCCAACATAATATTCTATGTAAACAAACTAACAGGACCATTTCGTCTAACTTGTAGGGGGTAATCACAGAAGAACCAGCTTGTTTCTGCAATCCAAAGGGAACTGTGACCGGGTTTTTTCTTTACACAGACCAGAATTACTAAAAACAAAGACATAGGAGGCTGCTTTCTCTCCTTGATCAGCGAAAAAAAGCATTTCATCAAAGCGATCCCCCTATTCCCATCCTAAACATGACCAATTAAAACCGCTAATAGGATATTTCTTTTGGCTGGATCGCCCCAGGAATCACCGTAAGCAACCCTCCTCCAGGCTCGCCGATTTCTGCCTTTGGACTACAACTCCCAGAATTCCCCGGGCAGCCGAGTTGCCTGGGGAGTTCTGGGAGTTGTAGTCCAAAGGCACAGATCCGCACATCTGGGGATGTGAACCTTCGCTTTTGGAAAGCCTGGGTTCAGAGCCCTACTTGGGGCGCAAACACGGACCCGCTCTCGGCCCAACCCACCTTTTGCGTGCAAAAAAATAAATAAATAAAAAATAAATCACCACACAAGGCCCTTCTGAGGGCCATCAAACGGGCCAATAACGGGCGTTGGGTTGGCGCGTCGCGATCCTAAACACCCGAAAGTAGTAACGAGGATGAGGGTGATCGATTCCCCCAGGCGGGTCTCCTGTCTTCCCGCCTCTAGCAAGGGTGGCTGCAATTGAACACAAACCCTCTTCTTCCTCCTCCTTACCCAGCTCCGTCCCCCGGTTCCTCGCAGCCATCATCGCGGCAGGAGCAAAGGCCCAAAAAAAGGCGAGTAGCTTTTCCGGTTTCCAGTTACGCCTCTTTTTCTCCCCCGACTCCTCCTTCCTTCCCTCCTTTTTGCACCCTCACAACTTCCAAGATTGCAGGATTGCACGTTGGAAAGGTATACACGTGTTCAGCTCGTCTGACGGACCGATTAAATAATAATAATACAGTACTTCTTTTTTTTTGTATGGCTTATATAACATAAAACCTTACTTGGTTCCAGCGTCCGGATCCTGCCCCTTTGAAAACCTTGGGTCTTTTGTAATTTAAAAAAAAATCGTGTTTAAAGGCTGATTGCTCTTGCTTTTGAAGCGTTCCGGCCAAAGTCGATACTTAAAGCGGCTTTAAAACGGCCCCGATCCAAGGTATGATTAACTCCGAAGAAAGAGTCACTTGCTTCCACGGTAGTAATGACTGACCACTGTTAAGCAGTTAAAGGGGGAAAAAACAACACAAGTTTTCGGGGTCGTTAAAAATGGGGCTAATAGTAAATCCCAAAAAAGACGTGGTTGCACATCCCTCCCCAGGGCTAAACGTACTAGGGTTTACCTTTGAGTAAATTCGCAAAGGCCTGGAGACCTTGCTCACTACATGGAAGAGGCTCTGAAAATCAATGTTAAGAAAACAAAGTTTGTGATAGTAAGGAGGCAGCCCCAGAAATGCAGTTAAAGATCTAAAATGGAAATACGGAGTGTCTGGGCAGAGATAAATACTCTGGAATTTGGTTACATGAAGAGTTGGATCATCCCTGTGCAGGAAAAGTTCTAATAGGGATGACAACAGAGCAGTTTCTCTAGAATGGAGAAGATAGTAGGGAACAAACATTTAAAATTGGCTTTGAGAATCACTGGTAGAGTGTCCTGCATTGTATGATATGCAATCCTGGACTTCAAAAGCAGCAACTGCTTTTTTAAAAAGGCATTGGAAACATGGATTTATTGCAGAATAATCAAAATTCTTGATTCAGGAAATTGAAATTGACCAATGGAGAAGTACTAAAACAACCGAAGACCAAGAAAACATAAAAGAAAAAACAGTGCAGAAAGCTAGAATACTTCGGTCACATGAGAAATGAAAACTACAGATTGTTACAACAGGCCAATTAAGGTGAAATAAATGAGGGTGAAACTGCAAGAAGGGGAAGTAGTTTGGCTGCAGTATCTCAGAGCTGGGTTTGGATGCAAATCAGCATCATTTCCATCTGCTGTGCCCGAAATCAGGCTGGCTACAATGCTGTCCAGTCTCCAGAAAGAATTAAAATTGCCATTAGCTTCTTCTGTTTGCAATCCTATGGAATTAACTTGTGTAGTCAGCCATGAAACTGGACCTGGGTAAATACACATAGGATTTTACTGCCAGCAGAGGCCACGACACCGTATTTCTTATAAATTTATGGGATGTAAGCACCTCTGACATCAATCAACTGGAATTGCTTTCGAGTATATATATGCAGGATTCCAGCCTATTTTAGGTTAAGTTGGAACAAGATTCTGTTGTTTTTGCTCATCTTGCAACATTTTCACTGTACAATAATGTTTGGTTGCCATGTTTAAGACACAAATAATGATTTTTGTTGATTTTCACTTTTCTTACCCAAATCCCAACTCCAATACGATCATCTCAGGAAATGCTAGTTAGACATATAGGCGATTAAAAAAAATTTAAGGGTGGTAGCCTTATAATACCCATGTGAGGTAGGTTATAGTGATTGTCCAAGGTCTAATGGTACAGTAAATTTAATGTAGAGTATGGGTGGTAGATGACAGCTGTTCATGAGGTCAAGCCACTTAGGAGTTCCACTGAAAGTATTAAGGGCTTCAATTTACAACAGGGCTAGATCATTTACTGCAAAGTTCTTTTGCCCAAGTACTGTATGTGTGTATTAACCTTGCAACTCCTCCACACATCCCATATGTAAACAGAAAATGTGATTCCCCATTGTAAACTGAATGCTAGTGTGACAAAGTAATTAAATTACTGGGCTAGGCCACCCCAAATTCAATCCTACTAATTCCACCAGGAAGCTCACTCGAGGAACTTGGCCCAGTCACATTCCCCCAGCTGAACCGACATCTTGAGTCTGTGGGGAGATTATGGTGGAATCATATACGCTACAGGATTTCCCTGGACAAAAAGCAGAATGTAATATGATAACATTGCCATCAATTAAACTGATGCCTACCACTGCATCTTTATTAGTTTGGTTAAGCCATTAGAAAGCAACTTGCACATGTTTTGTTAAAGGCACACACAGATGTACAAAGCAGGCCGAGTTTTGTAGTACAGTATTTTTAATGCTGACAAGCATGATTTTTGGTTTCCTCAAAAATATTCAGCGTTAACCTAAAGGGTATCACCTCAAGGAACTGGTTTGCTTGCTTACATGTTTGCAGCCAGGCACTTCCAGTGAGGAACCACATGGAGCAACTCCCAGGATTATGCATTTTGGTTGTCATTTGGCCTACCAAAGCATCACAGACCTATTGCTTTTCTCCTTTGTGGGTATGATTGTAGTCTTTTGTGCAAACCCCAAATCTGTTGAAGAGCCTCCATTTCTCTTTTCCTTACGGCCATCAGCTCCTAGACATCTGAGGTTCTATGTCCCATAAACATCTATGTCTCTTTCTGCATGTATTGTATTTGCCACAGCTCTGCATGTATTACCTGTTTCTGGCAGCCTTATTTATCTGCATAGTAAGGATAAATAGCATACAATGTTCCTTAACATGCTAGGTGTTTTCTCTTGTCATGAGGTTGGCTAGCTAAGGCATAAAGAATATTCCAATTAGAACAGTCTTTGAAAGCCAGCTAATGCACCAAGGAAGTTATGCATGCATTTAAAAAATTTTCTCAGTTCCTTTCACACAAACACACTTGCATTGATAGCTGCAAGAGCCAATGATACAGACAGCACCCACATGTTTAGTTCCTCAGATCTGCTGAGTACTTCTCTTGACCTCACTACAGATAAAATGATTATTTGGAAACCTCAGACCTACAACTGCATACTACCTTCCAACAACTGCTAAAGAACCACTCACAGCCACTACTCGTATCCTTCACATATTCATTTCCCTTCATTGTTCTTCTACTAAACCTACAATGTACATAAAACATCACCAGCCACTCTACCTGATGAAGTGGGCAACAGCCCACATTGATGTCAAATAGCACTCATTGGTGTTCAGCCACAAAATACTTTGTGTGCCTTACCTTGTAATATTATCTCTATTATGTATGGGACTTTTGGGACTACAAATCCCATAATTCTCCATTCAGCTAGCAGTGGGACAGCTTCCTTTCTACACAGGAAGCTAGAGTGCTTCAAAGCCTTCCCAGCTAGGCCTTTTATCCAAGTTTAAGTGTCTGTAGGTGTGGATCTGTCAGGCCATATTTAAGTGTCTATGTGTGGATCTGTCAGGTAGAACTCCCAGACTATGGTAGTATGGAATCTGTAATCCAAAGAAATTCAAAAATCTCATGCCTGTAATTCGCAACCCACTGCACTGTCATCTCCCAGCTGCATAAGACTATAGAATGTGCGGAGAGGGCATGTGCTGACAAAAACTCACACTCTAAAAATATAATACACTGCTAAATGTAAGATAGTTCCACATCACAATAGCACAATATATGCATTTGTATCAAAATATATTCAGTGATGGTTTCTCTCTGGATATTTCAACACATTAGAAAACCAGTATAAGTGAACAGTATTTTATTGAGAACCCCTTTCTCTATTGAAGTATGAAATTCTTTAATATCCACCACATATACAGCTGAATGTGTAGCAGGTGGCCATATTTGTATTCATCCACTGTAGTGTGAAAGTTGAGGGGGGGAAAAGAGAAAAGGCATTAATATGTTTAAAAAGATCAAGCTGATATTCCTGAAGAATACAACTTCAGGCACATGGAAGGCCACAACTGGTCAATGTTGTTACCAGAAATACTGGTGGCACATTTTATATTTATTCTTGGTAACACAGATGAACCCTTAAACCGGCAATTCATTTCCATATGCTGTGTGAATAATCTGACACACACAAAAAAAACTGTCAAAAAGAATGAACCGTTTCTGATTTATAGAAAGGTTTAGCTGATACTTTTTGGAGAAATTAAAATGGAACATTATGCAAAAATACCTACGTGTTTTGCAGAATGAGATTCAGAGGTTATATGAATACTTTTCACCAGTGATGTGTGGATTATGACAGCTGCTAACACATGCATCCTGCACTGTTGTTTTAGCAGTGGTTCCCAACCTTAGTTCGCCAGATTTTCTTGGACAAAAACTCCCCAAAGCCTTTATCACTAACTGTGCTGGCCAGGATTTTCTTACAGTTGTAGTCCAAGAACATCTGGGGACCCAGGGTTGGGAACCACTGTTTTAGAGAGACATTGGAATACACATTTATATCGAGGAGATATAAGCCTCAAGCAGCAAGATACTGCAAAAAAAAAAATATCTCTACCCTTTTTCTTTACTGAAATCTCAAGATGCTCCAATGCTGTTAAGAAACAGATGGTTGAAGCTTCTACATTTGACGAGATGCCCTAGGAACACAGTTGTAGAGAGGCATTTTATTCAGATGTTCAGAAACAGATATTTAGAAGCAACGTACAACAAAAGAAAAAAGAAAAACCAAGTCAGTTGTTCTGCCACACAATCTCATCTTTTTTGCCAACTCTTTTGACTTTCAGAGAAACTTTACTAGAGGCCATTACATTTCTCCTCAATAATAAACACTATCATGGGTTAACCAAAGCTGAAGAAACTGGGTTTCAGCTGCCACATTACATTCAGACATACAACAGGCAGTGGTGCTAGGAGACAGCAAAAAACATTACTGCTCATCGCATTCCATACTCTCAACTCTCTTCGCAGACAACCAGTTCCAAAGCAATCTCATCAATTCTCATCTTTGCCGTAGGTAGAGTGTGCACCCTGGGAGGCTGCTGCATACTGCTGCTTTCTTGATTTAGTCTCAGAATGTCCATGTGTTTTCATTAAGAGCTGTGATGTTCAAGCCTTAACTTCAGGTGTTGTGCTGTAGAGGGGATCTGAATTTTCAGAACCAAGGTCTTCTGCCAAGTTGCAAAAGAGAGAGAGAGAGAGAGAGAGAGAGAGAGAGAACACCAACACAGGATCATTAGCAAAAGTTACTTAATAGAAAGTATCAATTTCATCCACACATTCCACTCTGAGCCTATTATGAATAGTTAGTTCCCTTGGGCACATTTTAATTGCGACTTGATCTTAGTTCTTGGCTAGCCACAAAAGTACATCCAAAGTCCAACTGGCCCAATTTGCATTGAACTGGAAAAAACTTTCTTGTGGTGGCTCTTAGTTGTTTTTCCCAGCCCTTAAAGGCACAAGGACCTCACCACTTGCCCAACCACTCACTCCACAAAATGGATGTCCCTACAACTTCTCTTCAACAGGCTATTGTGGTGGCTCCAATGCTACAGTAGAGTAATTACTCAATACTGCATGATTGTTCATACCGAACGACTACATTGCACAGGTCAGTTTGCGCAGAATCCAAAGTTATTAATTGTTCTGGCCAGATTTCATGGGAGCTATCATTTAATTACCTAGTTCTTCTTCTGTGGTTCCTGGAAGGCTGACCTTGGCTTTAGCCAGCTCAACACCTTCTTCCTCTACAAAGGAAAAACAAAAAGAAAGTCTTCATTTCATAACTTGAAACAGCAAGCATCAGATATCCTGACTGCAGAGTGTGCAAAGAGTGCTGTGACTCACAAGGGGTTTTCCACTTCAGTTTTATCTATTTGCCAAATGTGTCCCCGTGACCCACTTCTTCATACAACTGCTATGAGCCAATTTCATGTAAACTGACTGATGAGGGCAAAATGTGCCCGTCTCTTCACTTTTAGGAGCCTGACGACCAAGGTAGCATAGGATGAGGCTTATTCAGAGTCCAAGCTGCATGAGTTCTCCATCTGAAAGAGTCTGGACTGTATCCTCCCCTCAAGATGACAGCTAGAGGCCCACATGACAATATTACTCTGCACCTTACAGAGAGAAAAACCTGTTGCCAAGGAGAATAGATCCCCAACAACCCTGTTTCATATGCACAGAGGATGATTTATTTATTGCATGAAGGAACCTTTCCATGTTAGCCCTTATCTGCTGTCAGAAGAGATACTGTCCAGAGCTGCATCAATGACATATCTACCTTTATCCATTCAACTATAATGATACTCTATCGGTTTTCATTTCATTAAAAGGTGATGAAAAATATTTTCAGTACAATTTAAAAATAATAAATATGGTTTATAAAAAGACATAAGTGATAGTGCACTTCAGTTCCAGCACAACACACGCGCCGTGTTCTTACCAGGAATCACACATTTCCAGAGACCATATGTTTTCCCTACTGTTGTCTGCCACAGTCTTAGAGTTCCGTCCTCTGAGCCGCTGGCATACAACTCTCCATCTGGGCTAAATCTGACACAGTGAATGGGCCCAAAGTGCCCCTTATATGATTCTGCAAGAAGATACAATACATCAATCAGTTTCAGGCAAGAAATAAATACTGTACATATTAACAGCCTTATAGACATATAAAGAAATCAATTCTGTAGTTGGGTCTTGAAGATGACAGCTGCTGCCCAAAGCTGTAGAACCAGCAAGCAGCCCCCTTCTATTTACCACCGAAAGCTCCCTGCTACACTATTATGAAAAGGATAGATCTTCTGTGCCTGGTCTTGCTACTGGAAAGCAAGTGAGGATGTGAGATATGGCAGCAGGCATCAGAAAATGCTTTACACTTAAATATGGAAACATCTACAGGAATGATGCACAGCTAAAAAATCTGTTCCGACCTCAGAGAGGTTCCTTTATTAAAACCAGTACTATTATTCGGCCAACAGCAATGGGAACTCGGGCTTCTCTGCAAGTCCCCACAGAAGTCTACGGACTTGTTTGCTTTGCTGTATTCCTGATTCAAAGGCTACTTATGGAAAAGCTGGCCACGATCGCAGGGGCAAAAATTAAAAATGAAACAATATGCAGCACATTAAAAAAATTTCCACTAAATTTTCACACAGATTTCCAAGTCCCACTATGAGAAGTTATCTACATGTAGCACAAAAAGCATAAGGCAAAAACTTCTCAGTTTACAATCTCTCACTCATTTTAGGGATTATAGCCACCAGTAGTTCTGTTGATACTGTGTTACCACTACAGGTGCTGAGTAATGTATTGTGTTTAAAGCTGTACCCAAAGCCATCTCCTTTTCCAGAACCAAGACCCACTCTTATTGGCAGCCTTGGAACACAGAACTCACTTCAAACTCTTTTTAGTTCCTATTCTGCATTTTCGTTTCTTAGTGCTGGATATCTCAAGAGTGTCTCTGTGACTTAGGTAGATTTTTCCTACCACCTACTGTTGCAAGTGACGATTTCAGCCCAATACACAGCCCAATACACATTGTAAAAACTAAAAATCTAGTAGCAGCCATTTTAGATTATTCTACTGCCCTCCCTTCCCCAGTGTGCATCTTTTTCATCCCATAATTTCCAAAGGAATCACTGGAGAAAAGGTGTGTGTTGTCAAGATTGTAAGTAGAGATGGGGGTATTCGTATTCATATACAAATACCCCCACACAGGTGGACATAAGGAGGATCCAGCCACTCTTCGACCTTGCAGAAAGGCTCGTCCTCCTGCCAGGAGTGGCTTGCAGACCGCAAGCTCCGGAGCGATAGGAAGGGAATAAGGAGCTCATGGCAACAGCGGAAGGTGAGTGGACAGTCCGGCCCCAGGACCCTCATTATATCCACTTGTACTTGTCTCTAATTGTAAGTCATGCATAGGCCATAATATTGAACTTGTATAAAACTACCATATTTTTCCATGTATAAAATGACACTTTTTACTTAAATAATTAAGACCAAAAAAAGACGGTCATTTTATACATGAAAAGCAGCCGCTTTCCCTTGCCTCGTGCAGCTTAGGAAGTGGGCAACAAAATGACACAAGGGCGCCAGGATCAAAGGGGTGCGATCGTGCAGATTTTCTAATTTGGGGGTTAGAAAAGGGAGAGTCGTCTTATACATTGGGTCATCTTATAAACAGAAAAATACGGTATCTAGCTTATACTGTTTGGAATGTTGTAATGCATCTATATGATCAAAAGATGGCATTTCATTTACCGATGGAACAAACTGCCAGATCAGTACATGTATTCCTTTGCTAACTTAGAGACTGTCTCTCTCTTATCTCACAGGTGCAAGGCCAAATTAGTCAAAACAAAGCTTACTGTCCGCCATAGGGGCTACTTGCCTCATATTTTACAAGGGCCATGGTTTGCTACCCCAGTAAAACCAACAGAAAATATCTGAACTACAGATGGGGGTATTCGTATACGAATATGAATACCCCGCACAGGTGGCAATAGCGAGGGTCCTTCCCCATGAGGCTGCCCCACACAGGTGGCAATAGCGAGGGTCCATCCCCATGAGGCTGGACGGTCCACTCACAATTCCGCTGCTGCCACAACCTCCATGGAGCTTTCCAGTGCCTCCGGAGATCGTGATCTGCTCGCCACTCTGCTGCCACAACCTCCATGGAGCTTTCCAATGCCTCCGGAGATCTGCTCGCCACTGGATAACAAGCCTCTCTGCCAGGTTGAAGAGTGGCTCACAGATCGCAATCTCTGGAGACATGGGAAGGCTCTATGGAGCCTCTGCAGCATGAAAATTGTGAGTGGACCGTCCAGCCCCATGGGGCTGGACCCTCGCTATCGCCACCTGTGCTCGGGCATTCGTAATCATATACGAATACAAATATCCCCATATCTAATCTGAACCATCATTTTATTATTCTAGATAAACCATATACACAGCTCCGTAATTTACTAGCACAGTAAAAAACTGTTGACAGTTCACAAGGTGGTAAGGACTGATAAAACAGTATAACTTAAAATCCAAGACAATGGCTAGGCAAGGAGCACCCGTAGAGAAGAGAGATTCTGCTGGGGATTGGGTGAAGATTCTTTTTCTACATTATAAACTTATGCTGATGTGCCTTTTATTTGCTTATGCTTTAGTTGAGGTAATATTGTTAATGTGATTTACTTAATTGAGAGCTATTTCACTTAAGTTAATATTTTTTCATTTTTCCTATGATGCATTAATCATATAAAAGTCTGCTGTTCTAACAGGATTTGGGAGAAGCATTCACTGTTTTAAGATGATGAAGTTTGTAAATTTAACTCTATGTACAAACACTGCAAAATGGCTAGCTATATTAAACCTCCAGTTGACCCTGAGTCAGATAAAAACATACTGCTAGCTTGTGAGCAAATTGGGAAATTACTTCATTTTCACCCTATCAATCCCAAGGAACCTGAAGCTTTAAGTACAATTTTCCCTCTGTGTGGCTGTGCAAGTAACGCACAACTCCACGCAGGGCTCCTCCTCCTCTGTGCACCCGCAGCAATAGTTTCCAGCCTCTTTGGTTCCAGTCATGAAGGAACCCTGCACGGAGGGGGGGGGGAGAAGCCTTGCCCAACGGGGCTGAAAATTGGAGGGAATGTTGTTTAAGTTATTTTATATTTCAACAGAAACACAGCTATTCAAAGCATACTCTGAATTCCTTTCGAATGCACTACAAACATACCTAGTTCTTCACCGGTGTTATAATCATACTTATAAAGTTTAAAGTCTTCACCACCTGCCACCACATACTCTTTCTCAGGGTGAAGGGATGCTGAATTGATTGTTGCAGGGGCCTCAAATGATTTGATCTGTTCTAAGCTACAGAAGGAAAGGAAAAGTTTTAAGTAGAGAGATTGCAAGTAACAACTCTGTACGCATCAAAATAAAAACATGGAAAGAAGAAATAGAACTGCATTCAATATAACGTCTTCTGAACAAATTTGGGATGTCTTATAAAAACAAACAAAAATACAAACTTAAAACTGTTTCAAATGGTTTCTGCACAAGCACAGTTATGTTACTCAAATCAAGTGTAACAACACAGAGAAAAGGTACAGCTTCAAAATTACATATTCTATTTTAGAATATACTTTTGCTTCAAAACTTTAGTTATCAGGCCAAACAGGCAAGTCTATATCCACTTAAAGAGACTTGCACTGTAAAAACTTACTTCCCCAGACCTTCAATTTGTTAACTTTTATTCTATTTTAGAATATACTTTTGCTTCACAACTTTAGCTATTAGGCCAAACAGGCAAGTCTGTAAGACTTACTTCTCCAGACCTTCAATTTGTTAACTTCAATTTCATATGTGCTTTTAGTGGTCTCTACTTATTCTGAAACATGTACACATGCATACATTCAAACACAATGGCTGAAATCCAGTTAGTCAGAACTAGAGCAGGCCTACTGAATCAGTTGACACATGCATACATTCAAACACAATGGCTGAAATCCAGTAAGTCAGAACTAGAGCAGGCCTATTTACTAAGTTAATTCCTCTATAAATTTCACCAATTCAATGGGCTTACTCCAGTAATAAGTCCAGTAGTGACTTATCATGGGATTTCAGCCAGTGTGTGTGCTTTGTATGCAGTTTTACAAATTCTAATGAAAACCCACACCAGAGTTTTAAAAAACTGAATAGAATAAAAACTAATTGATGTTCTCAGACTGTAAAACCTAATGCAATATCCTAAACCAGTTGCACTATGACATGTTGATGACTCAAATAACCAGGGACTGCTGCAAATCTCATCTTGCACGTGATTTCAACAGAAACTTCCATCTTCTTTGACTACTGCCAGTGCTGACTGGAGCCATGCTAATAGCCCAAAATATCTAGAAGGCACCAAACATGCAACTCCTGCAACTGAATGTGTACAAACCCAAGTGATATGTATATGGTTCACACTGCATTGTAAACTGGGCAACCAAATATGGAAACAGTTACGAAAACAACAGCCCTTGCAGCTTCAGTTGTATTTTAGATATACATCATCCTCACATTTTTAACAAAGCATGTGAACTGGGCAACCAAATATGGAAACAGTTACAAAAACAACAGCCTTTGCAGCTTCAATCCTCACATTTTTAAGCATGTACAAGTACAAAAGGATATTTATCTCATCTAACATGGGGGCACACACACGTTTACACTATTCCACATCTTGCCAATTCTGCATGCTGCTTCTTAAAAAAAAAACCAAACCAAATCAAAGAGACATACGTTTCTGCACTATGAAATGCGATGGTCCTCCCATATGTGATCACTATTATCTCCCCTTCTGGAAAATACTCCATGCTGCTCACAGACATGGCAACGTTTATCGCCTTCACTTCTGTCCAGGTATTTCTGTCCCAAAGTCTACAATAGAAAGACATGAAACTTATCAGAATTGTGACATCAACAGATAAATTTCTTCTCATTCAGTGCTCCTCTGCACTGCCATCACAATTCCTCCCCAAAATATATTCTCAAAGGCTTTCACAGCCGGGATCTGATGGTTGTTGTGGGTTTTTCGGGCTCTTTGGCCATGTTCCAAAGGTTGTCCTCTGAAGATGCCGGCCACAGAGACCGGTGAAACGTCAGGAAGAACAACCTTCGGAACACGGCGAAAGAGTCTGAAAAACCCACAACAATCTCCCCAAAATGTTTGCAACATGACTATGTGATTTCTTTATATCAAAAAAGCCCTGGAATTCTTGTTGCAGCTCATCCTGGCACACACTCTATAAATACTAAGGTTGCACTTATTATTATTCATCTCTTGAAAGTTGCAAAATGTCAAATTATTTTCAGGTAGAAAACTCTGGGCCTCCTTTTTTCAGAGACAGGGGGACAATTTACATCCAGTTTTCAGCCCAAGGACACATTTTGATAGGTAATTAAATTTTGAAGATAATGGGAGAGGAAAGGAAACATGCAACTAAACATGTTATCGCAGCACGTATACATTGGTAACATTTTCTAATCTTTCAAGGCAAGACAAGCACCCTGTAGCCATCAACCCAATCCCACTGATGCTTGTCAAAATTTATGGTTAAATATATTTTCCTGTAAGTCTTAACTATCTGTGAAAGGCAAGAGTAGCCCTAGGATCACATTTACACTCACAATCTAAATAAACTATTATGCATTGTGTTAGGTTGTGCACTGGCTCCTAAATTTGTTCATGTGCAAATAAGATAGGAATTCATTTTATAATGTGCCCTTTTATGAGATTCCTACCAAACTGTGTCTGTGCTGGTGTTTTTGTATTATTGTACCTGCAAGACAAAACCCATTATTGCAAATGAGTCCAACCCCCTACTCAGGGTAAGAACCTCTTGCTCAATGCAGGAAGACATGCAAATGCCTATAATATGTGATGCGAGGTTACATACTGCCACCAGAATTCTCTGGCAAATTATTTGCACACATCCACCCCAGAAGGCACAAGAAGAGAAGTAGGAGACATATATTATGAACTTTGGTAGTGACACCACAAAATCAACAAAAAAGTGAAACTGGGTGTATTTATGTGGCAGATCCCGACAGTCTATATGAAGTTATGATATATAATCGTTGAAACCCACACAAGAATGCAGAACTTTCTGGGAGATGCAGTCCAAAAACATACCTCTGAAACAGATTTTGGGGAAAGAGCAGGAATCTAGTTTAGAGAACCAGAGCAAGCAAGTGAGCATGTAAGTGTGTAAAAACTAAGTTCTGATACTGAACATGCATTCCTATCTCAGCATGAGTTACTTAGGGGGAATTTTGTTGCTTATTTTTAAGTACCCAGTTACATGGCCCTCACCTCTTAGCAATAGTTTACCTCCTGATTCCAGCTCATGGACCATAGGAACCCGATAAAAACAAAACTTGAAACCTATTGTCCTGTGACACATAAAATTATGCTAGAAGATATTCACCTTCATGACAAAACACATCAACTGAAAATGCTAGAATTATATACTAACATTTAAAAGAAACTATGCAATGAAGCTAAAAGTGTAACCAGCAACATGAGACAAAGAAATATTGTTTTTCATTTTCTTACCTGACAGTTTTGTCATCTGCTGAAAGGATCTGTGTGTCATCACTACTCCACAGAGCCTTTTTAATACCAGATGTGTGGCCACTGACTATCTGAGGTTCTAAAAAGCAGAGATAATAATTAAGCCACAATTTCCATTCTTATGCCTCAATAAGGCTGCTTTCTTAACACTTCTCATTTACAAATAAAAGAAAATAGTTCTATGGCAATACAAATACTGAACACATATTATATGCTCTGCACTTACAATATCTAAGAATGTGTACTATGATATGATGCCAACAAAACTTTCAAGATGTTTTCCCTGCATGCATCTGTAAAGTACAACTGCAAACAGTTTAGCAGAAGGTACATACACCGCCATTTGTACATAGTCTTAATGTTTACTTAAAAAGAGATCATTTTTTACTCTAACCTCAAAGCTAAAAGAAACAGTACTTTTTATTAAAACAGACAAAATTAGCTTGCATAGATAATATGAATAATCATGGTTCATCTTGATGGGAATGAATGAGAGCAAACCTCAGATTTTCAAGCAGAGATCTTCTCTGCCTTAAAAGAAATTAGAGCTTTAACTTCTCCTTTTGGTTAACAGCAGCCTGTCATTTTGTTTGAGCCCATCAAATGATCTGAATCACATTGTGTTGGAAAAAAGTACATCCCATAACCCATGTTTTGGCTTTTTTCAAACAAAAGCCAAAACATGGTCAAAATCAATACAGCTGCAGGTTTAAACATAATTATCCTGCTATCACAGCATGATGACAGGATCACAAGGAACACTGACATTTTTTTAGAATCAACATCCTGGTTCATGTGGCCCAGTCACTTCTGCTGACTCATTTTATTTCAATTTCAACAAGAGTCTGCACTCTGGCTTGTTTCTGCCACTAGCAGTCAGAGAAACAAGAGTAAAATTCACAGCTTGTCTTTCTTTCTTTGGCTTGCTGGGACAGAAAACAAGCAAGAATGCTAACTCCCACTATATTAGGACATCAGGCAAAACAAATCACAGATCAGAGGTACTTGGGTTTGTTTAGTCAATCCAGATGCAAAAAGCAAATCATCAGGCACTGGGCACCAGTACACTTACACATTATTGGCAAGGTAGTATTTTAAAGCATTCCTGCTTGTTGTGAAATGGGACTATGGCTGATGCAATTTTAAAGACAGAAGCAAAGATGTCTGGAGGAGCAACTCACAGCCAAGTAGGAGAGGAGCACGCTATCCTGATGCTCACTTCCACTGTGATAAAACATGGTATATCATGATATCTGAATTACACTAAAACAGTATGTTTGTTTATTTATTCATTTGATTTATATACTGCCCCATTACTGCAATGCACAAATCTGGATGCTTTACAACAATAAAACATATTAATAAACTATAAAAAAAACAGGAAGATAAAAAACATTAACAAGGACAAGCAGCACCAAAAGACATTCATTCGATTTATATACTGCCCCATTATTGCAATGTACAAATCTGGATGCTTTACAACAATAAAAACATATTAATAAACTATAAAGAAACAATAAGATTAAAAACATTAACAAGGACAAGCGGCACCAAAAGCAAATTCTCTATGTGACAGTAGCTTACTACTAAAATCGCTGCTGCATACAGTGACATTGTTGGGTATAACATTAAACCACAATTTAGCATTATGTTCGAATAAAGGCAGCATGTCCACTATGGGTTTTAATTCTGCCGTATTTCAGGACTCTGTTAAACGTCAGACATAACAAAAACAGGAAAACAGTGGATACAAAAGTAAACAGGAAGAGTACAGTGGATGAAATCTTGCTCCTTAGCACAGTAAGTCACAGCTAGAGTAGGCCTTCTGGAGGCTGACTCATGGCAACTGGACTTCTTTGTTAGGTTGAAATGTTTCACTACTCATCCAAGTATCTTCTTTGGTCAGTTCAGACTCAAGAAGCTACTTGAATGAGTAACGAAACATTTCAGCCTAATAAGAAAGAAGTCCAGCTGCCATGACTCTACTTCCAGATAACCTCACCTGGATGATTGAGAAACTTCACAGATATAGCTACACTAGGCCTATTGAATCAGTTAAGATTTGGTGAGTCAACTCTTTCATCAGTTCCACTGATTCAACGGGCCTACCCTAGTTGTGACTTACTATGCTAAGCAACAGGATTTCAGCCATTAAATGACAAAAGTCTAAGGCAATCGATATACCTACGACTAATGTTTCTAGCTGAAAAAAACATAGGTTTGGATAATAATTCAACTCCAGTGATTAACAGGACAACAAAACTTACCTGCTTCTGGCTTACTTAAATCATAAATACGCAACAGTTTATCTTGTCCACCTGTCAATAGATAATTGCTGTCCTAGAAGAGAAAACAAGTACAGTACTGTCATTTTCATCCACATGATCTTGGTAAGGTTGCCTACATTAAAATAATTCAACCACCATTTTTAGAAACTAATGTTTTTTTATTTATGAATGAGAAATCATTGTTATGATACTCCCTTGAGAAACAAAAATGGGAAAGAAACAACAAGATATTGTGTGTCCTTCTTACCTGAGTGAAGTCTACAGATTTAACAATGTGCTTGTGAGCCAAGGTGATTAATTCATCCCCTGAAACACCGTCCCACACTTTGCTGAAACAAAAACACAGAATGACATTCTAGTCGAGCTACATTCCAGGCTTAAGAGCTCTTTCAGACAATTGAAATTGAAACTTGAGATATCCCAAAATATATTCTGCATGCAGAAAAAGAAGCATGTGGAGAGTTTCAGGATTAGAGATGTTTCACTTACGCAGTAAAATCTGCAGCAGCTGTAGCTGCTTTAGTGGCATCCTTATTCAGCGTAGCTCCCCAGACTGCTCCCTTGTGACCAAGAAATGTTCCAATCCAGTCCCCTGTGTCACCCTGGCGGAGCATAGGTTTACCATCTAGTGAGGAGAAAGAGGTAGACAGAGATGAGTAGGCATCATTTCCAACAGCCTAAACCAGATGTTGATGTAAAATTCCTCTAAGAACTTCCACATATACTACAGGAGGTTATTCATTCAGATTAAAAAACCCAACTGTTCATTACAAGAATTTCCAAGATCTATTAGTGAAACCTGGAATTAATTATTCAAGAGGTAAAGTTTCTTGAGCAATTAACAAATCATTATGTTTCTTCTTGTGGTCTATGGACTACACATCATAAAATGCCTGGTTATTTGTATAAGCAACCACTTAGTTATGGATGAAAAAACTAAGACAACACTGGATCTTTTTTAATTAAATGTATCTAGTACAACACCACTCACAAAATGTCACTGTAAATGTACTGGGATTGCTATACAGTTGTGCCTCAGAAGACGGGCGCCCTGTTTAATGACAAAACCACATTATGACGAACTTTTTGCGATCGCAAAAGTGATCGCTTTACGATGGTTTCAATGGGGGAATTTCGCTTTGCGGTGATCGGTTCCCTGCTTCAGGAACCGATTCTCGCAAAACGACAACTTTAAAACAGCTGATTGGCTGTTTCAAAATGGCCGCCAGGTAAAAAAAATGGCTCCCCGCTCTTTTCTGGGATGGACTCCTCGCTGCACGGGCAGCGAAAATGGCTGCCCTATGGAGGATCTTCGCTGGACAGTGAGTTTCAAGCCCTTAGGAACACATTAATCTGGTTTTAATGCGTTTCTATGGGCTTTTTAATTTCGCATTACGAGAGTTTCATTCTACAGCGATTTCGCTGGAACGAATTAACGTTGTAATGCGAGGCACCACTGTATTCCACACAATGTGAAATGAAAAATCATTTTAGTAAACTTGTTCAGTCTTAAAGGTGCCACAGGACTCCACTGTTCTGTAAAATATGTATATGATATTCTTTTTAAAAAAACCCATAAACTAACAGGTCCCTACTCCAAGATGCAGAGTATCTAGAACAAAGGTTCCAAAATTTTGGGCCTTATATGTTCTTGGACTGCAATTCCCATAAGCCCTGATTGTTGGCTGTTCTAGTCAAGGCTCTAGGAAAATGTGGTCCTAAGTTTAAGAACCAGTAATCTAGAAAACAAAAAACACCAGGAAGAATTGGAAATATAAGCAGAGTAAATATTGAAAGAATACACTAATCATTACAATTGCATAGATTTGCACTTAGTTACAGCACAGTATTGGGTCAAGAGTTTCTTACAAAACTTGATTTTGAAGAAGGACCTGGAGGAAATAAGGGAGAGGTTCCACACAAGTATTTTTACAAGCAATTCTGTATTAGACAGGTAGTAGGAGAGAAATGGAAGATTGTTATATGCCATTAAGTCACATATGACTTATGGCAATCTCAATAGGGTTTTCAAAGTATGTGAGATATTTGGATGACTAGTTTCTATAAATGCACGTTAATCATCATCAATGTATGGTGACGATTAACTAATCTGTAGTTTTAGAAGAGGTAGTCATGTTAATCTCTGCAAGCATATGTGGCAAAAACCAAAGGAAAAAAACAAATGCCTGAATTAAAATACAATAGTCTTTGCCATATATTTTTGCCTTGTTTTGTTTCATTTCATTGGATTTTGCTCAATACATCTACGGCACCTTTTAGTCCATTTTCACAGTACGGCCTTCCATAATCCATTCTGATGCAAATTCTAATAACTAGCCACAGGTTCATATGAACTGCTGGATAGCTCAGTAGTTTAGGTCTCTGGTTGCAGAGTTAGAGGTTGGGAGTTTGATTCCTCACTGGGCCTCTTTGGCAGGGGCTGGCCTTGATGATCCATAGGGTCCCCTCCAACTCTGCAGTTTGAAGATGGTGGTTATTACTGTTATTATTATATACACAGTATGCATGTGTGTTACGTGCTATCAGGTGAGAACTGGCTTATTCTTAACCCAATAGTGCTTCTAAAGTACAGTATATGAGATGTTTAAGGAGTGAGTTTTACCAGTCCCATCTCATCCAGTGGAATCCGTGACCAAGGAGAGATACGAACCAGGTCTCCCAAATCCTAGTCCTTCACTCTACCCACTATAAAACAATGGGCATCTATTTATTTATTTATTTAACTTATATTACGCTCACTCTAGCCAAAGGTCTCTGGGCAGCTTACAATTAAAATTTAATTAAAATACAATAAAAGATAAAATGATTAAAATACAATTAAAATTGCCATCAGGACCCACAGTTGATGTTACTTCAATCAAAAGCCTTCTGGAACAGGAAGGTTTTGACCTGGCGCCGAAATGTCATCAGCGTCGGCGCCAGACAAATCTCAGTCGGGAGGGCGTTCCACAGTCTGGGGGCAGCTGCCGAGAAGGCCCTTTGTCTACAAGCCGTCCCTCTTACCTCCTTGAGGGACGGCTCTTTCAAAAGGGCCCCCTGGCTAGATCTTAACTGCCAGGTAAACTCATATGGAAGGAGGCGGTCCTTCAGGTATCCAGGGCCCAAGCCGTTTAGGGCTTTATACTTACTATTATATAACTATTATGATACTGAATATTTATTATACAGAACCAACAATCAGTAAGACATGGGAACTGGGGGGAGGACGTTAAAAACAAACAATTCGGGGGAAAAGATTTGCGTAGAACTTAATTGCAGTCATAATTGGAGCTTAATCACATCCCTCGACCCGGCCCGAAGGCAACACCCCTCCCGTCTCACCCTTGCAGGCACTGATGAGGAAGTAGCCGTAAGGCGTGATGCCGCTGAAGGCCAAGTCCACCACGGGCCGAGTGTGGCCGGAGCAGGTCAGCGGAGTCTGTCTCATCGCCATGGCAGCGGGTGGGGAGGGAGAAGCCGAGGCCTGAGTGGAGTCGCGCCGAGGGGAAGGAAGGACGAGACCGCCAGGAGGGACCCGGGGAAGGGAGTAGGCCGCACGGCGCTGCCTCGACTTGGGCCTCCGGACGCCGCTCGCTCGTTCCCCCCGCAGGCACACGAGCTGCCGGGCCGCTGACGGGAAGGGGTGGCCCGATGGCACCGGCGACGGAAGTGACGTCTGAGGGGAACGAACGCTCTGGGCCGCCCGAAGGGGGAACGTCACAAGCGTGCGCCCTCCCGTCTTTGTGAAACCATAGCGGCACTTCCGGTTCTCTTCCTGGAACGGGAAGAGAACGGAGAAAACGTGAGGTCATAACGTAGTGGCGACCGTCATTTGGCCATCAGGTCTCCACCCACTTAAAGCCGGCGCCTGTCCAAAGAGGAACCGGAAGTTAGGGGCATTGTGTGACTCTTTGCTTTTTAAAGTACATACATCTGTGTAGCTCTAGGGACACGTGTGGTAGTTCAGGATCTAGAAGTGAAACAAAAAAAAAGGAAATGTAAAGAAATTGCGAAGGAAAAATGAGAGGGCTGTGGGTTTAAAGAGAAGGGTAATCCACAAACCGGGACGGAGACGTCTTTTAGCCCCTCAAGATTATTTTTTTTTGTAAATCACAACTCCCATCATCCTTGGTAACTCGCCTTTCTGGGGGTGGGCCTTCTGGGAGATGTAGTCCAAGCCTGTTGGAGAGGCGGCCGCAGGTCCCAGAAGGAGGCTCTGCTTTTAGGAGGCGGAAGAGCCTTCGTGTGGTAAAAAAAAGAGAGTCGGTCGTTCCAGACTGCAAAGGGAGCAATATTGGAACGGCTTCTTCCCATTAAAGGCTAAAGATCTTCCTGCAGGCAGATATCCATTTGGGAATCGTTGTTTTGTGGTGGTGATTGTTTTTCTTTGATATCTTCCCCCCTTTTATGTTCTGTACTCCGTGTGGTGTGTAGTGAATACTATGGTCGACTAGGATTCATGGGGTCTGAGTTCAAATATCAACTTGGCCATGTAAAATTATCTGGGACAGCAGAGCTGGTAAAAAAAAACACAAAATTTTGCAGCCGGAGCTTTTCGTAACTCAAAATTTTCGTAAGTAGGGACATTCGTAAGTTGAGACCCTGCTGTATGAGGTGTAAAAGTAATCTGTTTTGGGATCAGTCTGGGTGACTTGTACTCAGTGGCTGAAATCGAATTGGAAATCATAACTAGGATAGAACAGTTGAATCAGTGAACCTTACAGAGATGTTTACTCACTAAATTCCCACTGATTCAATGAACCTACTCTAGGTGTGACTTACTACTGGATTTCAACTAGTGTTTACAGAATTAGTACTTTCTAGCTCACGTTTTGGTGGCATCTGGCCCTTCCAGTGTCAGGCTACACTTCCCAAGGTCCCTTGCTATTTATTATGCTGGCTAAAGCTGATGGGAGTTTCAATCCTACAATTTCTGCCCCTGTTGTAAAAGTTATTATCTTCTATTGATATGGAGAACTTAAAGAGAAAGAGAGAAACCACTATAGCAATTATTTTGCTATTTTATATTAGATTTTTTTGTACTGTCCATCAATAAAAATTTCCAAGGTGATTTACTTCAAAAGTAAATGCAGATGAGCACGATTAGGGCCAGAGTGGGTGTACAGCAGTTCAGATTCATACCAACCATAGAATTTACTGAGTAATCATGAACCACTTTTTTTCAGAGGTTAACCAACTTAACAGGATTGTTGTGAGGATAATATAGTGGCTGTAATATTTAAATCAGACCTGCAGTTACTTTTGGGGCTTCTCTGCCCCAAAACGTTAATGTCCTCACCAGATATTTTTATGATTAGCAAGATTTTTCCAGGAGGACTTATTTTGAGAAACGTAAGCAATTACAGCTGTAATTTTCCCAGGTAGCTGCTTACCTGGGAAAAGCCCCATTTGAACTAAATGGATATACATTTGAGTTGGCATTTATTGGTTTGTGCTGTAAGAAGCCTAGGTAACCCTCTCACCACCACCTATTTATCTATTTTGTGCCTGTAGGGAAGCATTTTAAATTCTTCTCAGTTCCCTTCTTGAGCCTCATGACAGAGGTAATCTAATTTTGTTGGTTCAAGTGCCATCTGAGAATTGTACCTGTCTTTATTAGCTGAGCTGTCTCCTTAAATTTTTAAAGGCTCTTTGGTCGACTGTTATGGCAAATAGTGTGATGCAATCTCAGAGGAAAAGATGATAAAATCCAAGGTCAGCAAAGTGGGCTTTGTAGGAAAACTTGGCCATAAGCAATAAAAGGCATGCAATCCAAAACAGTGATAGTAATGTAAAGACAAGCTGTATTCCTTGAAAATATTTGACTTTATTGGTCCAACCTTTCGGTGTATCATATAATTTTCAATACAATTGGCCTCCTTTTTACCCTTTCTGAAAAGCAGCAATATGATAACCAGTTGGGGAGGCATAAACCTTGTAAAAGTAGAAAGAAAGCCATAAATATCTCAGACACATTGAAAAGACAGAGCTCATAAGGCTCTGGAGATATCAAGCCCATTCAAATTACAAAACACAGCAATTTAGCTACCTGCAGCATATCACAATAGCGCTATTACTGCCCAGTTTCGCAGGATTTCATATGTCCTTGTAACTTTCAAAAACAAAAAAAAGAAAGTAAAAAGAAGTCAGGACTTGGATTGAACATTGGTAATTTAGTGCAGTTCACAGGTTGCTGTCCAAAAGTGAACTACTATGGAAGATTTTCACTAAAAAAGACAGCAGCTGTATAATTATAGCTGTAATGCTAAACATTCTTACTTAAAAGCAAGGTTTACCAACATTAATAGGCCTTACTGCTAACTGCGCAAGCATATTGAAGTTCCGGATATGTTTCATTCAAACCTCTCTTGTCTAGCAGTGTGACAGTAGGAATACTTTCGCTAGTAACTACCGTAGCCTGTTCATACAGCTGCTTCAACTTCCAGGCAGTCCAAGCCTTCTCTTCTCTGGCCACATACCAGAAACTTTTCAAAAATCCATATTATTGAGCCAAGCAAAAAGGCACCAAAATGTATGCAAGGTTTCAGCATCTTTAGATCTTTTCATCATGCATGGTGCTACAGAATGAAACGCAGTGGTCAGGAAATAGAATCTGACATGACACTGAAGTCATGGCACCTTACGATGGCAAGAATGTGGGATGGTTGTGCAGACACAAACCTGATTGATGATATGGTGGTTTTAGTTTCACATGATGAAGACAATTTTTAAAAAATGCCATTTATATGCTGCCTTTCCACTAAACAATGGTGCTCAGAGTTGCTTTCATATTTGTAAAATAATGAAAACAAGGTAGAAATCTTAAAATCATGTAAACCAACCCCATCATCAAACCACTAAAATCAAGCAAACACTAAATCAACAAGGATATAAATTAAAAAGAACACAGAAGTGCACATGAGACATCATGTGGTAGATGTATTTTTGCTCCCTTTTAAAAATCAGTCAGAATGGAAACAGATCACAACTTAGAGCTGGTTGACCTTCCTTTTAAAAAATATATAAAAATCAGCTGCACATTCAAAATGACCGGTACACTTGGGATAACCAAATCATTAAGACATGTTTGTAGATTTGCCACATATAAAGCCAGGTAATATATTCCTCATAACTATCACCCACCATGGTAGGAACCAAAAGGGTGGGTTCTTTTCTGCCGCTTTCTCTCACTGTTCTGTCATCTACTCCCCTTTCCAAACTGATAAACACACAGCAAACAAGGGAAGAGTTGGATGACAGTAAAGATGTAGAAACATGCACAATAAGCCCCAGTAGCCATTTTCACTGCTAGTATATGAATGTTTTGAGGCTTCAAAGCAGGCTGTCCTACATGTCTGCCGTGGTCACCTCTCACTGTTGGCAACCTACTTGTCACAAATTAGAGGAGGACTAAAGACTGAACCAATTAGTCCTTGGGAGCTCATTTGGCCACCAGAGATTTTTGGCAGGAGATTCACCAAAATATCTAATATATACTATACTGTATATCAATTATTTTAAAGCTGTTGGTGAATTCCCTGCCAAAACTCCATGGTGGCCAATGGAATCTGCATTATGAGTAAATCTGTGTATTTTGGAAAATTCCTATCGAAAATGAGAACATGGTGCGCTTTCATTTGTGCTGACAAAATTAAGTGGATGCAACTATGTGCTGTGTGGAAAGGAACATGTTGGGACTTTCTACCATGTCGATGTTAAAAATGGGAAGCTTCGTGGAATACAGAGATAGCTACTCTTTACATCTTGTTGAATACTAAACATCTACAACCCTACATATCATTGAACATAAAAGCTGGATTTTGAAAAGCTAAGCGCCCAAAGTCCTCTGCTGCATGGATGAATTTTCTGGCGTATTTGCATAGTTTTTCTCTTAAATTCTTTCTGCTGAATTTACAAAGACCTTTGTGAATTTTGGAGTTTAAAAATAACATTTGTGAACAACCAAAATTGCATTCAGTTGAAACAGTTCAGTTGTGGGAAGAGTTAAAACTACAATAGTTCTGACTGAAATAAGTAGGTTACAAGAAAGAAGATGTTTCATTTTCCAAATATCTTATTTTCACAAGTAGCTCCTGCAGTTGACTTGATATGGTTTTCAAAGGCTGCATACTCTTTAACCACACGATGGAGCTCTTTGTATCCTGTTGGAAATTAATTACTCTTTTGAACCTTAGAAATAAAGAATAAACAGCTTTCCTCCTGCTCATAGAGCTGGAGTTTGGAAAAGTTGTTGTTGTTACAACAATCCAATGTCTTCTACCCATCACATGCTCTGCGACTCTAGGGATTGTAGCACTTCCAATTCCTGCATAGGCCAATGTATGTTTTGTATCCTGCTCCTTTTGACCTTACTCCCATTCATAGGGGGAGGAGGATAGGGACAGTAAACACCAGATCCTTAGCCTCTCCATGTGCTGCTCTCCTACTCATCCATATGGTGGAGCTGTCAGCGGCCTGTAACCAGTCCCCTGATGTACCGTATTTTTCCATGTATAAGACTATACTTTTGTCTAAAATCTTTAGACTGAAAATTGAGGGTCGTCTTATACATGGAAGTAAGCTGAGGAGAGGGAAAAACAAGTGGAGGGGAAAGCAGGGATCAAAGCAATCCTGCAGTGCTTTGATCTCTTTTCCCCTACACTTGCTAAGCCCCACTTAGATTTCTTAA